CCATCCTTCGTACAATGACTACGAGCATGACCACGACGAATACAACGACGGAGGCGGCGGCGATAACAAATGCGTTGCTCTGACAGCTTCTACTGCTATTCCCCTGTTATTGAATACGAATTCTGCATACGGAGCACAGCTGCTGCATAGGCAAAGTACAACTCTGCGAAGCACAAACTCTATCGCCTGCCATCACCTGAAACCCCCAGGCCCCAAACCCTAAGCCTAAACCCTAAACCCTACACCTAAGCCCCAAATCCTAAGCCTAAACCCTAAACCCTACACCTAAGCCCCAAATCCTAAGCTTGAACCCTAAGTCCCTACACCTAAGCCCCAAATTCTAAGCCTAAACCTTCAACCACAAAATCCGAAGCCTAAACCCTACACCCTACACCCAAGCCCCAAATCCTAAGCCTAAACCCGAAACCCCTACACCCACCCCCAATCCTAAGTCTAAACCCTAGAACGACACCTAAGCCACCAAAACCTAGGCCTAAACCCTAAACCCTACACTCTGCCTAAACCCTATAAACCTAAGCTGAACGCTAGCCTCTGATAGGGTCGTAAGATCTTCCTGTGCAGCGAGGGCGTGGACGACCTCGGGCCCAATGGCCATGGATTCTAGAGTTTAGGGTTTATGGGTTTGGAGCTTAGGGTTGAGGGCTTCGGGCTTAGGGTTCTAGGGGTTAGGGCTTAGGGCCTAGGGTTTGAGGCTTAGGGTTGTAGGGGTCGGGGTTTAGGTCTCGGGGTTTAGGGTTTAGGATTTGGGGTTTACGATCTACTACATGCATGCATACTTGTGACTTAGAAAGCATACTCATACTCGTATCCCCTCGATGAATCACATAAATAATCCCTGTTATCCCATCTCTTAGCCTACTTGCTAAGTTTCCCTGACCCTCCAAATCAATCCCTATACAGTAAACCCGTAAACATTGGCGGAATAAATCCTGATCAAGCCACTAATCCCTAGAGTAATTGAGCACTAGCCCCAATCCCTCAAATCTTTTTACACCCCCTGCGCAGGTTGGACCCCTAGGATTATGTATACCCCAAGTCCTAAACCCTTAACTCTAAACCCTCAACCCTAAACCCTAAACTCCTAAGCCCTTAACCCTAAATCCCAAGCCCCAAACCCTTAACCGAAATCACAAACACCTAAGCCCCAAACCCTAGCCTAACAACACAAGCCCAGCGTGAACCTGAGGCCGAGACGAAACGTTGAGTCCGTGTGAGGGACGGTGGGAACTCCAAGCTTCCGTGCGTTCCCTGATCGATTTAGCAGATTTATTAGAATAGTTGAGGCTCAAGTGGGGAAGCAACGGATAACTAAACGGAAGCTTTGTTTGTGTTGGGTTTCAAGAGAGGGTTTGCTGTAGCGGTTGAAGGTTTAGGCTTAGGGCTCAGTATTTGGGATTCTAGGCTTAGACTAGAGGCGATTTAGGGCTAATTCGTTTCAACGCTGGAGATTGTATCACTCGAGGGCACGGCCGGCTATGGTGGCGAGAAGGGATTATGCAGGGGTCATTGGCGGGTGAAGGATCTAAGGTTGAAACCAGGAGCCCCTAGTATGGGCCCTTCACCCTGGGATCCTTTTATGTATTCTAGAATCCTCCGGAAAGGCCTCAGGGCCCATATTAGGGGCCCATACTTCTAACCTCAGAAAAGAAGGACAGGCTCAAGCATTTGTGGCAAACAACCGTACCTGCCGAACCTGATGAATGCAAATCTCAACCTAAAACCTTTGGGGCTTAGAGTTTGCACCAAGATCATGTTGAGGTCTGCTTGAAGTACACTATACCAGATTTATACCAGGAATCAGGACGATTACTTGAAGGGGCGTGGCCACGTTACTACCTTGCCCCGAAACCCTACATGTCTAAACCCTACTTGGAAGGGCGTGTTGCTTATGAGGGTATATCCTAAATCCGAAGCCCAACAATAAACCCACAACTTGGGGGGGCTTAAGGCATTTATATTTGGTGTAGAAGTAGGTTATAAGAAGCCCGCCCCGTACAGGTGTTTTAAATTTCCCCCCCAACTCATCAACCTTGATTTGTCCCTGAATAACCTTTGGGGGGAGTAAGATGGGGAACCCATGGTATACCCTAAATCCTATACCCTAAACCCTAAATCCTAAATCCTATACCCTAGATCCTAAATCCTAAACCCTAAACCCCAAATCCTCAACCATACACCCTAAACCCAAAATCCTAAACCTTTCCCTTCGACTGGCCTTGAGCTGTTGCAGCTTTTGCCAAGTCTCCTGCGCGAAGTTGCGCAGATGGCACACCTCCACAATTGAGCATTGAGGATCTGGCGTGGTTTAGGTGAATTTAGGGTTTAGGGTCAGGGGAACTTCGTAACTGGGGTCAATTTAGGGATCACTGGGGTTATTGTGTGATTTCTATGGGTTAAAAGCAGTTTTACTAACTCCCCTGCCCTCCAAGTGGGGTGATGGGTTTAGGCGGGTTCAGGGCTTATGGGTTGGGAGTTTTGCATTTAGATCAGCTTAGGGTTTAGATGGGTTTAGGGCTGATCGATTGAGGTTGAGGGTTTCAATGGGTTCAGGGCCTCAGGTTTGGGTTTGGGAGTCAAAGGTTGAGATTGGTTTAGAGGTTGTCTGGGTTGGCCCCTAAAGCCCTTTGAAAAATATTAATATATAGGGTTCCCTATTAAAGCCATTGGGGAAATTAGGAAATATCCCAGGGGCCTACCCAGTTGTGAGTTTAGAGTTTGGGGAGTACGTAGGGTTTGGAGGTAAGGGAGCTCTCAAAGGTGAAGTTCCCAAGCGGTAGGCTTCCTTCTGGGGCATCCGCCAAAACTGGCACAATTTGGGTGCAGGGTTCAGGGTTTGCAAAGAACTTCCAGGAAAGTCCAGAAGAGGTAAGTAGCAACCACTGACAGAAACTATTACCATAGCAGTAAGAGTGTGCTGTACCATGAAATGCTTACGCTCGTAAGAGCGGACTGTCGCTCACAGGCATGTGAAACTAAGGGTTTTGGAGGCTGTCGTACGTGTCCTCTCACACTTAAACACTCCCTTATGAATGAACGCCAAGCATGTCACGGAGAAACCCTACAATATTGCTGAAAGGCTGACGTGCCCCACAAGACTATACTCAATGTGGGCATTCCTTGTTTTAAGATCCGCAGACAAAGGGCAGCACGCTTTCCCATGTACTTGGCACAGTGCTCCTCTGGACTCCCTAGACCCTAATGTAGACCCATGATTTATCAACCCCCTCCCCTTTATAGGGGTTATAATAGTCATCCTAACATCAAGGCCCTTAAAAAGAGGTGGGTTTATGAACCATGGGTCTACGTTAAGCAATCCTAACCCCTCACCCTAAGAGATCATGGGCCTTGTCCTTCGGTTTATTCCTATCGGAATAACCCCGGGGCATGTTTAGGGTCTAGGGTTCAGGGTTCAGGGCTTAGGGTTGAGGATCCCTCGATCTGCCAAAAGACAATCCCAACATAATGCTTAACTGGGGCATCCCGTTGTCATTGTTGTATGCATCCAACATCCTGAAGGCATTGCCAACCCGAAGCCCCAAACACACAAAACGTTGGAGAAACCCTAAACCCCAAAACCCTAAAACTTAAACAAACTCTAAACCCTAAATAAACCCTAAACCTTGACTAAACTCTAAACCCTAAATATCCCCTAAACCCTAAATCTTGAATAAACTCTAAACCCTAAATAAACCCTAAACCTTGAATAAACTGAAAACCCTAAATAAACCCTAAACCTTGACTAAACTCTAAACCCTAAATAAACCCTAAACCCTAAACCCTAAAGGAGAACCTGAGGCCGAAACAAGGATGGCACCGCCGGCTCCATTGAGGGCTCCGGGGTTCAATGCCATGGTGGAGGAGCGGCCCAAATCAACCTTTACGGTTTTGGCGCTTTAGGCTTTAGGGGTTTAGGGTTTAGGGTTGAGGGTTTAGGGGTTTAAGGTTTCGGGTTGAGGGTTTAGGGGTTTAGGGTTTAGGGGGTTAGGGGGTTAGGGGGTTAGGGGTTGATGGTTTAGGGGTTTAGGGGTTGAGGCTTTGGAGGGTTAGGTTTAGGGGTTGAGGGTTTAG